GCCTGCTTGCCTGGTCTCCGCTCTCCACCCTGAACGCCGGCCTGCTTGCCTGGTCTCCGCTCTCCACCCTGAACACCCGGCCTGCTTGCCTGGTCTAGCTTGTCCCCGATGAAATGGGCGGCCACATGGGCCGGCAGCACATTTTCCAGGAGCAGGCGATTCACGCTCTCCATGGTCTCAAACTCCTCGTGTTCCTTCTTGAATTTCTTCTTCCACAGGCAGTCCAAGCGGCAGTAATAGTCAATCTACAGGCGGCACAGCAGTGTCCTGGCCCCGTGAGCAAGGGGCATGGCCACCAGCGGCCGGGGGCCCACCTGTAACCCTGCCCATCGGCACTGCCCACCCTGCGCCCGCGGCAAACGCCTCCCTTATGTGGCGTCACCTTCTGTTGGGACTAGGGACACTGTCTCGGGACCCCGACCAGGGCTTTCCCACGGGACTGTCTGCCCCAAATCTGAGGCAGCCCAGCCCCACCCGTCCCCTCCAGTGGAGGCCAGGTCAGCCCAGCTGGCCTGGGGATGCGGTGGTCACTTCCGGGTCTCACCTGTCTGGAGAGCATGACAAGGGTGGCGTAAAACAGAACCAGGTAGAAGCTGATCATAGTCTTCAGATCCCTCCACGAACAGGCCAGGGGGCTGCTGGATATGAAGGGGGAGGGTGGGGGTCGTTTCCAGCTCCCACCCAGCCCCCAAACGCTGGGGGTGGCGTGGGGCCCAGACTCACTCAAGGCTGCCCAGGGAAGAGCCACCGAGACAGGCTGCCTGCCCTCAGCGCACAGTTCTCATGGTGTAGACAGTAAACAAGACAGAAGAGAACTTCAGGTAGAGAAAAGAGGTGTCGGGAAAGGTTGGTGGAGGGGGGGAGGCCCCACTGAGGTGGCATCTGAGCTCCCGCCTAGATAACAAGGGAGAGCCACACAGAAAGCCCCAGGCAGTGAGGCTGCAGCGAGGGAGCAGGTGCTCATGGGCCAGGGGCTCAGGGCGTGGGCCTGGCAGTTGGCAGGTACGAGCCAGACCAGCAGGGGCAGGTTTGTCTTGGGTCCCCACGTTACAGCCTTTTAGTGCAGGGGGAGCCAGGCCCCTCTTCTCAACCCACCTGGGGCCGGAGCCTCCAGAACCACACACACATCAGCCCTTCCTGGGTGACAGGTGTCACCCGCNTCGTTCAGCAGGCGCAGGCACTCCAGCCCCTCCTTGTTGACGTCGCACTCGGTGTAGAACACTTTGAACTCCGGCACAGAGGCGAACATGACACAGACGCAGTCGTAGGACTGATGGTACCAGTCCTGGGGTGGGAGGAGGGGAGAAATGGGCCTGTGGCCACCCACCCAGCGCCTCCCCTCAGAGCCGGAGGAGCAGGAAGCAGCCTGAGCAGGGGACCCCTGGTGCTGCAGACGTTCCTGGGGGAAGGGGGGCTGGGCTGCGTCCCCAACCTGTCT